GGGATTGAAGTGTCTGGTATAGCTATCATTGCGGCACTGGCGTGCGTGTGTGCGTGTGTGTGTGTGTGTGCGCGCGCGAGCAACACCATTAGTGATTGTTTCATGCATGTTCAAGGAATTTCGGCGTGTTACGTGAGTCTCTGAAATTTAGTGAGTTTAGTCACAGTTTCATGTTGTTTGTACGCGCGCATGTGAAGTTGACGGTTCCTGATTATATGGTTTTTCGAGATGCCCTGCCCCTTATCGCACATAAACGAAAACTACACTGATGTTACGACCGTAAGCTAGATGCAAGAAATGGTATCATTTCAATTGTACTTGGCATCTTTTGGCTTGATGTTGCGTTATCATTTTTTTGTTTTTGTCGAAGCGAAATAAGCAAGTTGGAAATTGTTTGTAACTTGAATTTTAGCCTCTCGTACACTTACAGCTTGGTTCGTTATGAATATACTTGATTAATATATTATGATTTTATTATATGCGAAACTCGGAGAAAACATACAAGTGGGATGAGGTGAGGTTTTAGTTAATATTTTATAAAATTAAACAAAAATTAAAAACAAGCCAATTTCCGTTCATTTATAAAGCTTAAATACAAATTTCGTGTCACCCTTGGTTTTAATCTAATTAAAAAAAACAGAACTCTACCTGATGCTTTACATTTAATAGAATAAAGTCTGAGAAAACGCAAACGCTGTATCTTATTACGAAATTAATGGGTTTTTTTTTCTTTTCAACCGTAGCTCGGGCGAGTTCGTTGAGCGTGTTACCGACTTAATAGCTCACAAATAGCGCACGAACTAGTATTGAGGACTGTGAGTTGAGCGCGGTGTGCATGTTACGTTTTGTCCGGAATACACGTGTGTGTGCTCTTTGTGCGCTATGAAGTCGGTAACAAAATTGAAGTTATATTGCAAGCAAATTAACGTTTTCGTTGCTTCCGCCAGCTTAATATTTATTTATTTAGCAATATTTATTTTTGTTCCGCGCCCCCAAAACTAAAATACCTACATTGTAGTACACCAATCCCTTAGAATCAAGTGACAAAAAAAGTAAGACTATTTGGTACTAACACTAATATTAGACCAAAGAGGCGCAGAATTTTATCAAACTTAAATACCGAAGAGCTATTAATCGTGCACTTTAAAAAAAACAAAAAAAAACGAGGATACAGAACTTTACAAGAATAGAAAAAAAAAAAAAGCAAGCCCTGTTGAACGGCACGTGTATTTGTCATAAATAAACAAGTCTCAGTTCTCGCCTTAGCCAGGTAAAATTGCGATCACTTAAACCCGTTATATGATTGCAAATGTAGAGTTTGCAGAAGCACCGGTAGAAGGATTTACTAGAAAAACAGCTCTAGAGTTTAATAGCAATAGTCAATTCGACAAGCTTGTATTAACACACTGCACGATAGCTGACCCAAAATAGCTCTTCTGACCTCCTATAGACTTTGTCAAAATATTGAAAGCAAAAATATTATTTGTGTGTTTGTGTGTGTGCGTGTACGTACGTGCGTGCGTGTGCGTGCGTGCGTGTGCGTGCGCGCGTGTGTGTGGACTTATTCATGTGATCAGAAACAGCAAAAATTGTAGCCAAAAAGGCTGACAAAGCTCGCTCAACCTGTCGACAAATTACGTTTGAACGGAAAGTTGCAGAACAAAAGATTTGAGATTTCGTCGTGTTTGTCCTTGTTTTCCCCAGTCTCAGGGTTGTCTTAAATAAAAAAAAAATCGGTCACTGGACAGTTAGTGGATTTGAGGAATAAAGTGCTACAAAAACGGGACAATTTGATCGCTTCATATAAAATTTTCGATAGTGGGAAAGTGCGGGTAAATTCAAAAGTTCCAAAGACAAAAAAAAAAAAAAAAAAAAACGACAGTTATAACGTTTACCGATTTACAACTAATCGTATCACGCCTTCATATAACAAAGTTTGCCAATAAAAAGAAGATAGAGAGTTGTTTTTTCTATGTGCAATATAGCTCGAAGGTGACGTAATCAAACTGCACTGCCTATTCTCATGGTTTGCTTGGCACGTAGCAACGGTTAATGGGGCTTTTAAGGGACGCCCCCGAAAAAGAATGCGTACGATAAACATACGTAACGTCGTACTACTCAAGCGCTTGAAGTGCGCAGCAAATTTATAGGCTGCTATGAACCACAACTGTTACAATTTTTCTTTCTGCCTTCTTACACAAAAAGCTGGCGAAAAGAAAAAAAAAAAAACAATGTTCAACAACAATAGAACACAGCTTTTTTTTTTTTTTTGTGCGTGTGCCAGGAACATTAAATCTAAACGAATCAATTTTTTTTTTACTTGCACGTTCAAAGTTATGGGCCAAAACGTAGTCGGATCATCTCATGCAATTTCTAACCATTAATCATCTACGAAATGTATTTGAACATTGTTAATACATGTATTTGATTGAACTGCATGCTGCGTCAAAAAACGAAGTGTTTGCTTTTTGGTTGCATTTTCTATTTTTAATTGAGTTTTGATTGAGTCATAAGTTTATTTCTTCCTTTTTCAGCTCCTGGTTATGGGCCATTAAAGGGGGCCAGGGACGCCTAAAGCTGTTTCGAAGCTTTTGTTCCCGTATTCCCGTTTCATCAATTGATGAGAATAAAATTATTATTGTATTGTAACTATTGACCCACTCCTCAACTCACCTTCAAGTGGTTGAATTCTGAACTTTTAATTTTGTATTTATATTAAGCAATTCGTAAACATATTCAATTGCAAGATCAAATTTTGCTAGTTCTTCGTATCAGTTTCAGGGCAATATAATCCTCTGTGTATATTGCATGGCTCCAATAAAAAAAGTATATATATATATATATATATATATATATATATATATATAGAGAGAGAGAGAGAGAGAGAGAGAGAGAAAGCTCGCCTGCATATTACAGTTCCACGTGGACTGCGTCAAGGTCTCAGTTCCTCCCCCTCTCCCTCTTTCTCTCTCCCTCTCCCTTTCTTTCTTGCTCAATGCCCCGGAGCGTTTCTATCTTGGCATCGCGAAATCAATCCATCTTTTAAATTCAAAAGAAATATTCACGCGCAAATCGAAAGTAGAAACTTAAAAAACGATTACGTGGGTCCTCGCACCTCGCTTCGTTCAATGATTGAAATCTCTGCGCAGCCCGTTGCGCGAATTCTGAAACACGTTTGTTTCTTTTCACTTAAGCAGAGCCATCTCCCGTAAAGGTGGACAGAATTTAGAGATCAACCTCTGCATAATGTAAGTCGGCGAAAATGCACAAAATATGATTTTATTATAACATTAAGAATAATTCGAGCTTGCATATGGTGTAGATGGTTGAGCGTTTTGGTTAGCAATTTACAATAAGGAAAGCGGGACATTTAAGACAAACAGACAAGACAGGCTTTCGACTTTCGCCACGAATTTTATTGGTGATTTTGACTTCGGGGTGTTCTTCAAGAGCCAACTGAAATCTCAGTCGTACGAATGGCAATGATTCTGCTCCAGATCGCAGAAGCCTTAACGCGGATGAATTTTTAGCAACGTCTGGGACTTTCTGCTTTTATACGCAAGCTAAGAAATTCCACGTGTACCCCTTGGAAGGAATAAGTAATTCGAAAATAACCTTTTCTTGTTAACTTTTTCTTTAAGGACGAGTTTACGATTATAATATGCGGTAAACACCTTCAATACAGCGATGGAGTTCTGCCTAAAATATCTTCATTTTGTAATAAAAACGAAATAAAGATAAATATTTACAAAATAGTTTTATACATAACTTTACTAAAAGGTCTATTAGCACGTTTACTCAAAGGTGTGCAATCACAGCAAGTAGGTCGGTAAACATTATTATAAATATAGCTTGGTTCTTAAACACAAGGGAGAATTAGAAAAGAGCGTCATTTCACCTGAACGTTTGTTTCAGCGCTAAAAATATGTTCTCTTCACGCCTATCCAAATCGCATGCTAGCAGTTGAGATAATAGTGCAGCAAACTTCTAGAACTCAACTTAAATTAATCAAAATACGTTTTCAGTAGGTACACCATTGTCAAAACCTGACACTTTTACAGTTTTAAAAATCCACGGACTCACCTGCGTCGTCATTGTCACATCAAATCTATGTTATGAGATTCTGAACGAGAAAATGCCATCTATATACAGATAATTTAAGTGCTCTAAGCATTATAAAAAAAAAACAGACATTACATTCATGCGTGGCCAATTTTTTAAATCAAAATCACATCAAGGATCGATTACCTAGGGACTATCGCAGACACCAGAGGGCGACGTCGGAGGAGAAGAAGGGCTTCTCCTCGTCCAATGGCGCTCCCTGGTGTCAGCGATAGTTGAGATGTAATCGATCTTAATGCATCAATATAATGTGTGTTTTTTTTTAGTTTTTTTTTAGGGGGGATGTTTAGAGCCCATGGATTGAGTTATGACCATAAATAAACTATCGCAGAAAGTGGTTTAATGCCCCTTTAATCCCGGACGAAGCCGACGCTAAAAGCTGATGTAACCAACCAAACGGAGTCAAAAGCGCAAATCACTACACCTTTCTTGTACATGATTGGTTGAGCGATGATAGAGCATTTACAGAAACATGACAAACACCATGCTGGCGCGCTTTTGGTGCAGTTTGGTCGGTCCCATCAACTGGGGGCGTCGGCCATACGTCCAGGCTTAAAGTGAAACGAAAATTAGTGGAGTCTGGCGATACACGATGACGAGTTTCGCTTGCTGACTATAGACCTTTGCAAAAATCGCCTTCTGCGCTTGCATCTTTGTCTGCTGGGCCGTGGAACGCCTTCTGAGTATGCGCTCTTGATATGCTGTGTGGTACATCAGATGCTGCGCATGCGACTACAGCTCAGTGACTCAGCGTTTTTCGCCCAGATGATAAGCGATGGAAAGATCTTTAGCTAGCATGTAGCCAATTTGATAAAATCCTTAGGTACGAAGACCGAATTAACAAAATGAACTCTGCGTTTTCATTCGGTACAACTCACCGTAAACCTTGAGCTCTTTTTCAGATCGCACTGTCTGAAAGGAAGGCGCATCTGCAGACACTTCGCAGGAGTAGAGCCCCTCCGATTTCATGTCTGTCTCCTTGAGCAGCAGGCTCCCCACAGAGCTCTTGTTCATCTGCAAGAGACAAAGAAAGTAAAGCCGCAGTCCCGCCTTCTCGCACATCATACAAAAACACAATATTCGCTGCAGACACACGGTTATAAAATTATCTTCGAACATCTACTCAAGCATATTCAAAGCATGCTTTTATTCATACATACTTTGAACATGCTTGCAGACAGTTTGTTTAACCAATGTTACAGGCGAGTCATGCGAGGAATAATCACGCCTCAGAGTGTTCAGAGGTTTAGAGAACCGTTTTTGCGCATTCGATAAGGTAGGATGGGCCATCCGGCACGTACTGCGCATGTGCGGGTCTTCTGCAGTAGCGCATGCGCAGTTCGTACCGGAGGGCCCACCGTACCGTGTGGGATGTACAAAGACGGTCTCCCCAAACTCTCTACTGTCTGCAGAGCGTCTCTTGTGCGATGTAAGAAACGGCGTTAGTCGGAAGTCACGTGGCCTGTCAATGTTTAAGTTTGGCCGCCACGGGGGGCCTCGGGCTATTTCCCCGTGGTGGTGTCTTCTGGAGTTCTATTATGCCTCGAAAGGTTTCGAAATCGCACTGGTAGTTCGGCGACTTCCTCCGACGACTGCCCTCGGCGTTCATGCCGATAATCGGATGATCCGCGAGCCCGCACGACCTGCGAATTTCGCAATTTCCGATGGAAGTATTTGCGGAAGACATCTAACTCTCAAATCTCATTTCAAAGTACGTCAAACTAAAAAAAAAAAAGAAGAAAAAAAAAATCAATGAAAGCGAGACTATCTATTTCTTGACTCCAATTTCCGAAGTACATGCTGTGACAAAAAGCGAAGAAAGGCGAGGAGCTGAAAGTGATTGTAAGCGCCGAAAATTCAGGTCGTTTTTAATAACTTTCAATTTAGCGCGTTCCCTCGTAACACCCGTGTCTTCTGGGCAAACGGTATAAACATGTAGTCCCGCGAGCGCGCTGTTTATTGTTTATTTTCCTTCTAAATCAACTGTTCTAGCTGTCGGATTAATTTTTTTTAAGGGACAAAGAAATGATCTTTCAATTTCATCGTCCTTAGTTTTAATCCTCAACTCAAAAGCAAATTGAGAAATCACGCGGTCGTGATGTGCTTGGGCACGGGAAGCGATGACTCCGAGCTTCCACCGTGCTTTTTAAGAGCACCATGGAGCTTGTCATTTGCAAGGGGTAATAAGTACCGTAGCGGAACTCACTGGCCACGAACGCGAATCTAAATATTCGTCGACGGATTCATTGTTGACGAGCGCATACGTCCGAGAGACACATTTCTCGTGTACATTGCGTGAGCTGGGTTCAACTGACGCGCACCGCGGATGCATCAGAGTGAAAAGGCGAAAATATTTCGAAGAAAAGGTGGTACGAAATAGTCCGCTGTATTTCAAAAATTCGGTACCAAAAAGTAGGCTTTGACCCTCTACCCTCTTCCTCTTGGCCCAGTAAACAATATCCGATTGATAAAGTTCCGATCTAAAATCATTTATTCCTGCCCGAAATTCATTTCACAGTCTCTTTTATATACCCTGTACGTTCCGGATCCGCCGTAAATCGGATCCGAAACGAGAGTTCCTTCAAATCAATAACAGTGAGCACATATATTAACTGAATAGAAGAAAGGCTCTGAGGAAGTGAACCAGGGTTCACACACCTCTCTGATAGCTTATTCATCTTGATGAAAGGCCGTTCGGTAGGAACAACTCAAGAAAGAGACCCTCTTCGGCTTCCTGGAGGTCTGCAGTGATTTGATTTAGAAACGTCGCCACAGCTCCCGCTGAGTGCCAAAATAAACTACGAGTCCTAGGTTTCATTTTTATATATATATATGTTTGAGTTTTTGATATCTTTAATTTTGCGGAGTTCTGATTATAATCACCTAATTATTGAAATGAGGTCGTCGGTGGGCCTGGTTCCTAAGCAGGGCGCGTATTAGTAGAGAATACGTAGTACTAATTAACATTTATTAGCCCCTTTAACAAATCTTCTGAAGACATTCGTTTCGAATATTAAATGTTGAACAATAATTGATTTGATTGAATTGCTTTTTATTTAGGACTTAATAGAGACAATTAAGTGAAGCTGTCATGCCATTGCTTTCATCCGATGACAAACGAATACAACTTTCCCTCACTCTACCATGAAAACTGTGGTAATAGAGAGAAATAAAACAATAAACCGAACAAGGGAAAAAAAGAGGTCTATATGTTCGAAAAGAAGACTTCTGTGGGTGACATGCGGGACGTGCCCGCTTACAGGTCTGCCCGCCGGTACACAAGAACAGCGGAAAATTACGTGTGTCTAAAGCTCGGAAATCAATCTTGATTCACGCTGTTCTTGGAGCTGGTCATTAGCGGTTTAACGTTATTCATTAACGCGTCACGCCTCGCTGCCCGAATAAGAGGCGCTCGCTGTACAGAAAGAAAGGTGGGCCACGGAACGACGCGATAAGCGTGACTTTTTTTTTTCTTTTTGATTGCGGAGTGTCGAGGCGATAGCCTAGAGATCATTGTTCTCAACTTGCTTTTGCTATTATGCTCAGCGTCGTCGTAGCATGTGCGTTAGGCGAGCTTCTGGTTAATCTAATTAAGTGGCGAACCTCGTGTCTATTACTTTATTTCGTAAATTCGAGTTTAGACAAAAAAAAAGTGTCCTCGAATGATATAATTTGCGGAGTAGCAGTGCGGGTAGCCGAAGTAAATTATTGCGTCAGCGCAGCCACCGAGAAAGGAAAGTTAAGAAAAGCAGGCAAGAGCGCAAGGACCTATATACGTTTGGTACAGCGAACTGAAAAGAACAAAGGATAAAGTAAAACAAAGATGATATACGGCGTTTGGGTTGTTATGATGTTATATATAAAGGCAGTATGCTGTAGTAATGATGAGTGACGACACAAAACAAATAGCTCGTGTTGTTTACATAAAGCGCTTATTTTTTACAATGTATTTTTTCTCTTGGAAAGTGACCCGGTTCAGACGGGCGGGTCGATGATATGAACACTCCTCTAACCTAAATGCTCTTAAAATTTGTTTTTACGTAGGTGTCGCTTTTTATCACCCTAAACGCGTCTGCTCGTCTTTGACGTATTTATTCAGACATGAATCTTGGTGTGACTCTAAATTCGCAGCATATGGAAGTAGCTGTTCCGCACTTTCGCAAACGAAAATGTGCAAGACGGTAAAATATTCCGTGTGCGTGCTTCTGTAGAGGAAGCCATCCTGCCTCGAATAAGGGTAGATTCCGGTACCTATTTCAAAGGGCAATTGGGTGTGCGCGGTGCCCGCGGCGGATGAGTTCACGCTTCTCCGCGCGTGCCATGCGCTCGCGACCCAAGAGTGCTGTCTGATTCGCCGATTGCAAAGGGACATATGTTACAGGTGCCTTTATTCTGCCCGTGTGAATGGGGTATTAGAAGTAGCCAAGTGATCGCCGGTTTATGCTTTTTTTTCTCATAAATTGAGAGGCTATAATCCTAAATGCTGTAGTTCAGTGGGAAGGGCTTTTCTAGGGCACTATTCGTAGGGGATAAAATTGGTGTACGTCAATTGTGTATTTTAATAAACATACCATAAATAAACCAGTGATAAATAACTTGTAGAAGTTGCAGAACCCGAGCCACTGTTTTTTGAGAGGCATCTTAAAGGTTCCATAAAATGCATTTTGAGCTGGAATAAGTGATTTCAGATTGGGACTTTGCTAATCACACATCGCTTAGGGGGCCAAAAGAAAGGGTAGAAAGTAAAAAGCCGGCTCTTCGGAACGAACGTTTGGAGATATAGTTGAATATTTCGTACCTCCTTTCCTCGAAAGCTCTCCGCCTTTTCACTATGATGCATCCGCGGCACCCAAGTCACGTCAGCAGTACCCAAGGCACGTCAGCCGACCCCAACTCGCGCAATGGATACAACTCACGCAATGGATACGAGAACTGCGTCACTTGGACGTGTGCGCTCAGCATCAATCCGTCGGCATATATTTAGATTCTCGTTCGTGGCCAATGAGTGCCCTGACAGAACTTATCACTTGCGAATGACAAGTTCTGTGGTGCGCTTAAAAAGCGCGGAGGAAGCTTGGAATCATCGCATCGGTGCCCAAGCATGTTACGACTACGTGATTTCTTAATTCGTTTTTGAGCTGAGGATTAAAGCTAAGGAGGAAGAAGTTAAAAACTCGTTGCATAGGCCTCTTTAATGAGCCAATGATAAACCCAGTGCTTAACAACCTGACGACAGCATAAAAAAAGAGAAGAAAATGGAACGAGCCTAGAAGTTAGACGAGACACCTTAAGGGTACAGTAGTTAACTCCGGCCTGACTGTACGTCGTATTTGCTCTGTTCGCGCAGTCTATGAACACTACGATGAAGTGATCGCATAAATTCACGTCGGTACAACGTCTGCCCTCCTCGAAACCACCATACAAATAAAAACGGCACCCAGCAACTAAAAAATATAATGCTTTTTTTTTTTTTTTGTAGGACGGAGGACAAGAAGAGCGATGCCGAAATAACCAACTGCTAGTCGCCTATGAGGGTTGTAGAACCCCGTTACAATAGCAGCGGTGAACAGTAAAGAAATGCCATCGGCAGAAACCCGCCCTTGAGTAAGACAACGCTTTCGTACTTGCGCTTATCACCCGGGCGAAAAATGCCGAGTCAGTGGACTGTGGACGCCTGCGTAGCGTCTCACATATCGTGGAAGAGAGCTGCTGTGCATGCTCAGTACGCCTTCCACATCCCAGTAGACAGAATTTAGCGTGCAGAAGGCGATTGTTGGAAAGGTCTACACTCGGTTTCACAGTCAAGTCCGACCGTAACAAACGCCACGATTTGACGTAGCTAATCAAGCAACGCCAAAAGTGCATCGCCATGACGCCCGCCATTTTTGCTTGTTTATAAGCGGCTAAACCAATCACGTACAGAAACGAAAACGCAGGATCACGCCGCATTAAGTTCGAGTGACTGGTTCATCCGGTGGAAAAACGCAAAGGCGATGGCCGCCGTGGCGATGATG